TTTTTTTTTTGGAGACAGAGTCTCCCTCTGTCACCATGCTGTAATGCAGTGGTGCACTCTTGACTCTAGGCAAACTGTGCCTCCCAGGTTCAAGTGTTTCTCATGCCTCAGCCTCCGGAGTAGCTGGGATTACAGGTGTTTGTGCGCCACCACACCCAGCTGGGGTGACATTACCAGCTTTTTTGTATTTTTAGTAGAGACAGGGTTTCGCCATGTTGGCCAGGCTGGTGTTGAATTCCTGACCCCAAGTGGCCTATCCACCACAGCCTCCCAAAGTGCTGGGATTACAGGTGTGAGCCACCATCCCTGTAGATACTTTTCTTCTTTGTTTAAACCCACGGCTTCTTTTGCACATGTGAAATGCCACTGGTTTAGAATTGTAGTTACAACGTTAATGTAATATATAATTATATCTTAGCTATGAGGCACAGGTTAATGTCAAAAGGACACTGTTACTGCCATAAATCCACAGCAGGAGAATAAGAAGTTTTAAAAATGAGCTTAAAGGACATTAACTTTAAAGGCAAGGGCACAAGGTTAAAACAAAAAATAACTCAACTGGAGTAAACATAAAGACACTTTGGTATTCTTTATGAAGTTCCAAGCTGACTTTAATCTTCAACAAAAATTCACGTACACAGTAGCTCATAACCTCAAGTTTCTAAACAATTATTGTAATTTTTTGACACAATATAGTCAGGCTGTAACTTTCAATCTTTATTTGTGAGAAAATGGGGATGGCAGAATTAGGAAGGTATCTTTAGGAAGAGAGGAAGAAACAGAAGAATTATGAAGAGAGGGGATTTTTTAAACAACTGCTTCCACCTGATGGAGAAACGTGTTTTCTCAGGAATGTTTAAGGCCAATGACATTCCACTAATTACAAAAAACCATGGTCATTCAGAAGAAAGGGAAAAGAAAAGAAAAGCATTGCCTTCTCTGGAACCCCATGCCCACCCCATCCATTATTTTTACTCTAAGATAAAAATAATTTTTCTAATGGAGTCAAGGAAAAGAAAATACTTTTTCCTTTCTGAAGGAAAACTCTGGAAATCCCAAAGAACTGAATGAAACAAAACTTTTCTATGATTAAAAAAGAAGACAAAGAAAGATAAAGGAAGAAAGAAAGAAATATGTCTAATATTTCATTCCTATGTCAAAGGAAATGCTCAACTTCTCAAATGACCAGCCCACTCCAAAGATTTTGAGCAGTAAATCTGAGTATAAGTAATAAATACAAAATCAAAGTCATTTACTTTAACATGGTCCAATAAAGATGCTAAGTTAATGATATAGAATTGTTCTGACAATGGTAAAATAAAGGTTGAATCTCTGAACATCCTAAACGTAGTATCTAAAAGCTAGGCTCTAACTTTTCATTTACAAAACCTGCCCCTTGGCCTTCTCAGTGTGTGGATACTTCATTATTCAGTTGCTTGGACCAAAACCCTCGATGGCCACATAACTCATACCCTACATTCAACCAACCAACAAAGCCTTTCAAATCTGCCTTCAAAATATATCCAGAACCTGCCTGTCCTCTTCATCTCTACCTAGGCACCTCCCCACATCCAAGCTGCCTCCCTAGACTCTCTCAGCAGTCTCCCTTCCTAACCTCCTAGCTTCAGCCCTTGCCTCCCAGTCTATTTTGTCTATAGCAACCCAGCAAATAGTAATCCTTCTATACTCAGTCAGATCACATCCCTTCTGCTTAAACTTCTTGTACAGAGTGAAACCCTACAAAAGCGGCCCCACCACCCCTCATCACTCAGACTCATCTCCTGCTCTATTTCCACTCCTTTCATGGGTGCCAGCCACCCTGGGGCCTCTTTGCTGGTCCTCAATGGATCAGGTACATTCCTGCCTTAGAGTTTTTGTACTCTGTGCTTCCTCTACTGGAATGCTCCTCTCCCAGAAACACTCAAGGCTGACCCCCTGTTTCAGCTCACCTGCCACCCTGCCTTTGAGGCCAATCTAGAACCTTATTTAAAAGAACAACCCACTCCCAACACTCCCCTGTCTCTTTTACTGTCTGTCACATCTGCGAGAATATAAGCTGTACAAGGACAGTGTTCTGTTCACTGACGTACCCCAAGCTTCTACAACGGTGCCTGGCACATAGTAGGTACTCATTTGTTGAATGAATAGGAAGGATTTTTCTTCTGTTGGTGGAGAGTCTGTCCCTCTCAAAGGCTTCCTGCACTCCCTTGCCAAACAGGCACCCACTAGCAGGCAGAGACCTGAACAAAAACATTCCCTTCTGAATACCAACTGATACTTAACATTTCTGAGGCAGTACAGCATAAGGCAGTGACAGCCTAAATGGCATGAATTCAGATCACACTTGGTCCAGACTAGTGCTCTTCCTCTAAATATCCAGACCAAAACCAGGTGAACAAAATTAGAAATCAAAAGAATAAACAGATATATATAGAAAGAATTTTGCTACGTAACTTCAGGGTAGGAATATAAAGAAAACAAGCTCATTCTATGTACGCACAGAAGAAAAGACAGATATGTATGAAATACCATATCTGGGAAAAACTGGATCTGTCCTGCATTATTAAACCAGTAGAAATTAATTATACCAAAAAGTTTTACTAAAGTTTCCAAATCTATACATTTTTTGTTACCATCATTGTGCAACTAAATGTATACTTTGATGTATTCATCATCCCATTGCTTTTAGCTTCAATTTATGGCTAATTTCATAAATTTAGGACAATTTTTAACCCCACCACAAAATAAATATCAATTTAGCCACAAAATATAGAGGTTGAAATACTAAATCTATTTTGACCCAAGACACTAAAAACTAATCATAAAAATAACCTCAGTAAGCTTTTTCCAGTAGAGACAACTAAAATGATCTACGAGAGAAAAAGACTGAAGTCCAAGCCTTGTGTTGGGAAAATTTGGCCATGCAGCCTGGACACCAGCTTGGGGAACTACGGAGGAGAGAGGCAGGAAGAAGCAACACTGAGAACCCATGGAAGCAGGATCCAGAGCAGTCAATGCAGCACGACAGGGGCTGGACAGAAAAAGGCGAGCAGGGACAGCAGTGACTAAGCCTTTAAGCGTGATTGGGAATCCTTTGGTAAGGCAACGCTGGCAGGCACTTGAGAGAGCATCGCAAACTATCAGGGCTTTGGGCAATAAATTACTCTCCCTGTAAGTAGGACTTGGCAGAAGTGCTACTGAGCCTCCACAGAAACTCCTCAACAACCTGGGCAACTGAGAACCTTAAAATGAATGGCAAACTTATTACTGCTGTTAGAAGGCAGGATTGGTTATACTTGTGGGGGCAAGGATGAAGAAGGCTTCAAGGGGGCTGGCAATTTTCAGTTTTTTTGATCTGTTGGTTGACAGTGTGCTCACTTTTGAGAAAATTAGTCGATCTAGACTCATGATCTGTGCATCATACTTCAATAAAAGCTCCCCACCCACCAGCCAAGCAAAGAAAGGACAATGACCCACTGTTTTTCAGAAGCTGTAGTAGGATACCCCACTATGCTAAAAATACTCAGTG